TGCGAAATATCTAGTAATTGCGTGGAGGGGGGGGCGGCTGAAAGAGAGAAATATGCAAAGATGCTTTAGTTAGGGTTGCTTATAGCTGAATCTATTTTGTCAGGTCCAAGGCTACTCATCAATGGATTCAGTTAGACGAGAGGCTTTTACTTTTATGCCTTGAATGACACTTCCTAGGTATTCCTTCTCCTTTTGGTGGTTGCAAGGTTTTTCTGGACTCTGATGTCTGCGGTGCTTGGTTCACTGTGGTTGACAATTTGTCTGCGTTAGGCGAGGTATTGAAATACATTGATAAAGTGGGGCAGTAGTACTAAGCAGTAGTCGAGTATTGTACTTGAAAATCTTATAAAAAATCATGCTGTTTTATGAAAGCTTATACATATATGTGAGAAAATAAATTTCAAATTATTTGTGCATGAACTTAGTATTTTTCATTTTCTATCACTATTCTAACAGGTTCCTGATGATGAGATTACACTTGAAGAATACTTCCTTACTCTTCAAGGACCAACCTGACCTATACTTTATTCGAGAGATTCAGTTTTGTGATATGAAAAGGTCTGCTTCTTTCAAGATTGTTTGTTTCTTTGTGATTATCCTATAGAAATTTTCCATCAGCTCTTCTTATATAATATGCCAATATCTAGGACCCTGCGCCTTGACATTTTCTTCATATGCTAAACATAAACAACTGTTCGTATACCATCAGCTGACTCCATTGAAAAAGTTGGTTTTGTTTTGATATGGGATAAAAAGGTAAAAACATACAGGGTGGTTGGGTTTTTTTTGTCAGTTTTCATCTTTGGTTACTTTTTGTCTGAAGATGAATTATTGTCAAAATTCAATTGCAAGGAATATGCCATTGAAATTGTTCATGCCTGTTTGTATTAAATGTAAAGAGCAAAAGAAATGATGAAACATAAGTATTATAAGTGAAATAACAATTTCTTTAAACATTTCTCTAGTACTGAGTGACTGCTTTTTGTACAATTATTTCTTCTTGAATTGTTTGCCTTATGGTTTAGACAAGAGCTTAGTAGTGACTTGGTCTGGACAAGATCTTACTGGTGACTTGATAATGTAGATGCTTTATAACGTTACCCATTCCCGCCTAAATCGATTTGCTCATTTTTTGGAAGAGGTTTTTTTAATGTTGTTTTGTTATTTTCATCTTTCATTGAGTGAACTTCTTCTTCTTGTTCGTTCATCACGTTAGAAAAGATGGTGAGGGATGAAGTGTTGATGCACTCCACAGTGATTCCCAGGTGGAAAGGGCTGCCATACAGCTTCTGGTGCATGTCCCCGGGTTGAGGCCACTATTTTTGTCTTGCTGTGTCCAGTAGTGGGCAGTCCTGGAGAATATGCTGTGTATATAGGGGGCTGGCACCACAGGGACAATTGGATCCATCACCAATCTTGAATCGGGAGAACATGTGATGCTTCAGCCTGTTGTGTCCTGTTCTGAGTCTGAAGATTATCACTTGGTCGGCTCTTGGGATCTGGTGGATTGAGTCCTTTCTTCTGTGTTGTGTGTTCGTCTCATTCCATTGGGCATGGATTGCTGATTTGATGAGTGTTTTTGCCTCCTGATAGTTGGGCTTGGAATCAGTTTGTTCCATTTAATAAATAATGATAATGGATTGCATTTATATAGCGCATATCCACTTATGCAATGCTCTATGCGCTTAACAAGAAAAACATATTATGGAAAATACAAATCAATTTTATAGGCACATAGTATTACATACGCGTGCACACACATACTCACGCACCCACACACACATACACACATACGTCTATACGCATACAAACTCACGACGATCTACAGTGTGGATGGATTTTGTCTAATTGAAATATGATCAAAATAAAAAAAACTTATAGTTTTTTCTTTTTAATTTCTAGATTTTCTGCTTCTCTGATAGTTTTTGGAAGCCTATTCCAAACAAGTGAGGCAAAATATGAAAAAGAGCGTTGGCCATTTGATTTGTAATTTATTTTAGGTTTAACAAGGGTTGTTTTGTCACTTGATGATCTGAGCGTTCCAGGTGGTACATAGGGTGTTAAAAACTGTTTTAGGTAATCAGGTAATAGATCATGTAAGCACTTGTAGCAAATTGAACAGATTTTGTATATGATACGCTCTTTCACCGGGAGCCAGTGTAGTTCTTTTCAAATAGGAGTCACATGATCATGCTTTAGTTTCTTAGTAATTATTTTGACAGCAATATTTTGTACTCTTTGTAGTTGTTGAAACTGTTCATCAGATACACCAGTAAGTAAGGAATTGCAGTAATCAAGCCTTGACAATATAAGTGATGTTATTAAAGTTTTGGTGACATCAACAGATATTTTCTAATGCTTCCTATTTTCTTCACTTGGAGATATAGATTTATACAAAGATTGAATACATGAGATTTCATTGACATATCTTGATCTAGCTCTACACCAAAATTTTTTTTTGTAGTTTGGGTTGGTATTTCATGGCCATTGATGTTTATACTGATGTTGTCGATTTCATTGCATGCGCTGCTACGAATAAATAACATTTCGGTCTTATCCTCATTTAATTTTAATTTGTTCTTTAGCATCCATTTTCTAATGCCATTGATACATCTGGTGATTCTATCTATTAGATTGTGTACATTGTCAGTTGTAGTGAATCCATACAGCTGTGTATCGTCTGCGTAAAGATGATAATTGAGGGCATATTAAGAAATTATTGATGACAGACTTTGCGTGTACATTTTAAAGATACCAGGGCCAAGGACTGAACCCTGAGGAACTCCATACTTTAGAGGTAACATATCGTTGCCGTCGTGCACCAACCCCCTAAGCGCCACTGACAAAATTTTACAGAGAAGCAAAAAAACTAATTATTTCTTTTATTTCTTAATATTTTAGAAAACTTTTCAACTTTTACACATAAAATATGATTCTTCACCTTCTCACATGTTGTTTGGAGTAGTAAAATGAATAATTACAAAGAAAAAGGACTTACGAGATTTCTGCTCGAGTTTATCGTCGTGCACCGACCCGGTAAGCACCAAGCATGTCGCATACATGTTTCGTGCACGGCAGGTCTGAATTGCTTGTCGTCAGATGATGTCGTTTCAGTGGTTTTTGTTTTTGAGTATATTTTGATGACGGCATAATGTGTCATTA